GGACAAGGGAGAATGGCTTTAAACTAAAGGGGGGTAGATTTAGACTAGATATAAGGAAGAAATTTTTTACGCGGAGGGTGGTGAAACACTGGAAGAGGTTGCCCAGGGAGGTGGTGGATGCCCCATCCTTGGAAACATTCAAGGTCAGGTTGGACGGGGCTCTGAGCAACCTGATCTAGTTGAAGATGTCCCTGCCCATGGCAGGGGGGTTGGACTAGATGGCCTTTAGAGGTCCCTTCCAACCCAAACTATTCTATGATTCTATGATCCCGCTTTTATGCAGGTCAGATACCACCAGGCTCAGTGCAGGGATCCAAGCACCCATCTCCAGCCCGGCTCACTGTGCACAGCCAACTGCTTCGGTGGCGACTGGTGGTGGGGACATGGACCCAGCGGTGGTGGTGGTGGTCCCAGACATCCTCTGCTGCCCTGACCCATCACCTTTGCCAGCAGGAGCTCGGTCAACGCCTTGGCCGAGGGAGAATTAGCTGAGTCAAGGGTGGTGGGACAGGCCCACGTGAGCCTTCACAGGGCGTGAACTGCTGAGGCAGCGGGAAGGTGCCACGTGCCTTCCTCCAGCACTGTCAGCCCGGCAGGGCATGACAGGGCGAAATGTGCCCAAAATGGGAAAAAAAGGAAGGAAGCTCAGGGTTTGTGGGGTTGCGTCATATGGGGCCAAGTGCAGCTGCTTTGGGCCATGGCTCCAAGGTGTAGCATCAAAACTGCCCTTTATCGCCCTGCTCCAAAGCATCAAAACACCCTCTGGCAAGGACTGCTGCAGCTTCACCCCCTGCTGCAAGGGCAAACTTGTTGTTTGTGTCTTAGAGGCATCTGTAATAAGTTCATTAATGCTTGGGATGTTTCTCAGGTCTTGGTTTTCTGAGGCATTTTAACCTCCCTCCTTCAAGGGGTTGCCTGCTGCTGCTACAGTCCAAAGCGGGTTTAGCTGCTGGGGCTGGTTGCAGGATGCTTCTCTAATATCCATCTCAGGTTTTGGGGGCCAGGGCAAGGCAGGAGCAGGTCACACCACCATGCCACCCACAGGGACAGGCTCCCTTTGAGCCCTGCTGGGTTTCACACCCTTCCACTCTGGGAAAAGAAATGAAGGGGTGCGAAGGGGTGCAACGAGGTGCAAAGGGGGCTCCAAGGACCTGCACTTGATTCTGGCCATTGCTTTTCAGCAACCCCGCGCCATCCCAGCTGAAGCTGCCCAGTGTCGGGGTCCCCCCCAGCACTGACCTGCCACTACTTGGGACACCTCCATGACACCCTCCCAGTGCAGGGAGGGAAGCGGGCGATGCCCCCACTCTGCTCAGCTGCAGGCAGGCCGGCTGCTTCCTCCAATGAGCCCAGCTCTGCCAGCGGTGCCAAACAAGCAGCCCTTGTTTTGGGGGCAGTGCATGACCCCAGGGATCTGAGGCTGCAGCCAGCTGGCCCCATGGAGTTTGCAGGAGACCTTTGTCCAGAGGCATGCCCTGGGCACTGACCTGCCCCCACTCACTGCACCAATTTAGGGTTGCAATGCTAAAAAAAACAACTTAGCACTATGAGAGAGAATTTTTTAATGAGAAGGTGGTGCTGCAGGGAGGGAAGATTGGCAGGTATTTAGCTGCTAACAGACATCTGCATTGGCGATGCCTGAGCAGTTCAGCTTTATTGTCTCCTGGCTGCAGTGGGAGAGGATGCTGGAGGCTAAAGGACGCGGGCACAGCTGTGATGTCCGCCAGGGATGCTCCTGCACCTCCCTCCACCCATAACCTACAAGCACTTCTGGCCGCGAGCACAGGGCAAGCATCTTCACATTTTTGACCTAACCCTAAACCACACCGGTGACAGAGCTTCTTGGGAAACACTCAGGGGTTCACAGCCAGAGAGGCTGAGATGCAAAGTCCCATGCTGCAAATAATTATTAACAGGGTGTTTTGCATGCAGAAGCTCAGAGAGGTGGTGTGCAAAGCCACAGACTGTGTTTGCCGAGGTGCTTAAATGTGGATTCAAGATCTTAACCCCAGGCAGGCACGTTGGAAAATGCTGGCTGCGGTGGAAAGTGAAGCCAGTGCTTAGGAGAAAGGTGACAATAAATAGGTGGGAATTAAGAGCCTTTATGAGCATATTCACACAGCAGCACCTGCCTCAGGATGTCAGGATTGATTCACCAAAGAGGAGCTGGGTGGTTGCTCCCACTCCAAGGAAACACATTGCAATTTTAAGCTGATCCTTGGGTCACCAAGGGGTGTTGACCTTCATCTTTCCGAGCCCACTCTCCTCCCAGGACCAGAAGGCTCAATTGCTTTGTGCTTTGTCACATGGAGGAGATGTAATTGCATAAATGATGGTCTTCTCGAGGCAACTTTGGCTGGAAATTAAAGGAAATAATTAAATGGCATCTAGTGCTGGCAAAGAGAATGAGATAGATGGCATGCTTGGATGAGGCTGGAGGCACATCTCTGCATTGTGCATGGTGATCCCACCTGTGAGCTGATACCCCTGGCCCCAAGCCAGGCTTGCATGGCCCCAAGGACCGTGGCAGGGATTGCTCAAGGTGGGCAACGAGGTGAGTTGGGTCCCAGTGCTCCCCATCACATCCTGGCGTGGGAGTCGATGAATCGATGCCATCATTGCCACTTACCACCCCATCCTGTCAGCCGCCGGTCATGCTGCCTGCTGCCGTTGCCTGCCGGGGTTGTTGTTGCCCGTCCCCGGCAATTTCAGCCTGCTGCAAAATAACTCGGATGAGGCAAACACCACGAGATCCCTGCCCCAACGAGCAGACGGGGCCAGCAGCCAGGGTGAGGCAGGTCCCCTCCTCCCCGAGATGGGTGCCAGGCGTGTCCCCAGCCGCGGGGGAGGACAGGCCAGGGGATGCGGAAGGACATCCGACACCGAGCGGGGTCAGGAACGGGCAGGAGGCGCGGGGGTGGTGGGGATTTGGGCAGGGTCACAGAGCGCGTGGGACGCAGGGACAGGTGATGCCGAGTTTGGCAGCAGCGTGGCAATGCACAGCAGCGTACAAGTAAGCCCTAGTGAAGACATCAGGGCAGCTCACAGGCTTAAAGACCATAAGCATTTTGCTGCATAAAGCCTTTTTTTTTTTAAAATAGCTAGGGGAAAGGCTGGAAGAGCAAAATATGATGGAGAAGGTCCACTGGGCTGAAAGCACCCCATGCTCAAAGGCTGCTGCAAACAGCCCTGATGGGGTGGAGCCATGCTCAGGGCCCATCATGACACCCAGCCGTGACACCTGGCTGCCGGCAAGCCGCCCTTGCCTGCCACCGGGATCAGTGTTTGCGGCATGAGAGACACCAAGAGAACAATTACCACCCAGCCTAAGCCTTTTGCAACTCCACTTAGCGTCTCCCCAAGGTCATTGCAGCCCATGCTGG